GAAACGCGGCGATAATTATTACCACCAAATAAAACACAACGGTCTTTTTTCCCATTACAAACATATTCTAGGAAAACGTTCGGAATATTTTCCGAAAAGCGAGCGTAAATACCGAACGAGTATATCGGATCAAGCTCATGCCCCCTGGGCATCCTATAATACCCCTTAAAACCAATTAATCAAATATGGCCGCCGTTGTAAAAAGGTCTATTGGCCATTTGCACATCTCCCATAATACACCTTGTTTGCCCCCAAAGTTTTGCATAACCTTCTTTTCAATTTCTCTTGGGTATTGTAGTTTTCCCAGGAGAGACTGAAGACAATGCTTATGCACAATTTTGGGGGAGTATGTTTATTATGAGAGAAGTGCGAATTTGGTCACCAAACGGCCTTGACTGAATTAACAGTTATACAAATATTTAAATAATTCTAAATTGAGTGTGATACAATATTTCAGCCACAAAACCTTGAAATAAATCACTTTTTATAGAAAAAAGACGAATTTGGTAAAACAAGGCTGTTAAACCCGGCAACGTTAAAGTTGACGTACAGGTCGCCATGTTTTTAAAATGTTGTTAGATTATTTTTTAGGACTATTTGCTAAGTTTGATTTCATAGTTTGAACGATTTTGAAGATATTCAAAGATGTTCCTTGGTCTCAATAAGGTAAAATCCAAATCAAAATAACTCAGTGAGTTAGTTTCTATAAAGAACTAAAGAAATAACTAGCAATTTGTTTTGTTCCCTTACTTTTTTCTGTAGCTAAGCTTGGTTTTTTTCTTTTTGATTAAGCCAACTGTCGCTCACCTGGTGTTTTAAATCATGGTCTTAAAATCGGTAATAACTATACACACGGAAAAACAGTTCGATACTCTTGTAACATTGGGTACACACTTGAGGGCGAGGCTGAACTGTCTTGTGTAGATGGAAAATGGAACACTGCCACTCCCAAGTGTAAAGGTTAGCGTTCATTCTTGTTTTTTAAAATAAAAGCTTGTGTTGATTTTGGAGGTAAAGGGGGTTGTTTTATTTGCAACTTTTTTAATTGCGTGACAGATTTCGGTAATGGTTGCAAAATGAGTTACACACCCTGCAACTTTGAACCGTTTAAAGAAGACTAAGCTCGCGTGGGTCTATTTAAGTTGCAGTTACTTTACCCTGCTATTTTTATTTCTTGTTACAAAATTAACCACCCTGTAATTATTATAGCTGTTGAGTGTGGTGATCCTGGCAAACCAGCAAACGGAAAGCAGATTGTGAAGACAGCCTACGTCTATGGTGGATCAGTCAAGTTTGTTTGTGACAAGAATTACACTCTAGTGGGGACTGATGTTATATATTGTCAAGCTAATAGGAGTTGGAGTTCCTCTGTTCCACGTTGCTTAGGTAAGTGCCATGGGTAAGAGAATATAAAAGACATTAGTCCCGCTAACTATTTTTTTCCAAAAGGGTTTTTAAGGGGTAAAACACAGTTACATTTCGTGGTCGTTAAAAACTGATCTATATATAAATTAGCAGCAGAAATATTGTAGCTTTTAAACGACAAAAGTTCGACAAAACACGACAAAACGTATCGTCATACTTAATAAACAGGAGTTTAACCCTAATCTGACCATGCTTTTTGTTCCTTTTCTTGCTTCGTAAGACAGGGAAACGTGGGCGGCTCCCCTCTGTAACTTAAAACAGATCATAACACATCCACCAAAATTATACCTAATAATGTACTCATCACTTTCAACATCTAGGGATCACTAACGCGATTTGAGGTACTTATGACGTAACATTGTTATGAGTTATAAGCAGAGTCCAAATTTCATTTTTTTTGCCTAGGAGTAGCCATGAAGCGAAAAATGCGAAAATAGTGAAATGTTTGAAAAAAATTATGAAGTTGGCTGACACACGGATAATCTTTAACAACTGCAGAGGCGTCATGATGACTTTGTTTATTACTAGAGAACGTACTGGAACAACGCCATGTTAAATCTGCCATTTTAAATTAATTAATTTTGTTCAAAACCAGATGATGCTCGATATACCAAGTCAATATATGCACTATTGTGTCATTCTATTGTGTGGAGATAATTGTGTTATTGTTTACGGGCTAGGGATCATTGTTGTGTTCTTTGAGACGTAACTCTAGATTGCTATTCACTTGATCTATAGTTAACCAGCTCAATGAAAAACTCGTGTAAATCGAGGAAACCGTGATATTATATACAACCTCTGTATTAAAGTATGTTTAAAAAGCAAAAAATAAAATAAAAGTAAAAATACCGATGTAAGTGTAAAATTAAAAGTAAAAAAAAATAAACAACAACAAAAAAACTGCTAGTAATTTACCGTGTTGAACCGGCACTGTTGAAATTTGAATCTAACTTCTACCATTAAGTCAGTTTATATTCAAGTTTTTGAATTGGCCATTTGCGCATCTGCCACAAGGACACCTCGTTTGCCCCCTAAAGTTTTTCCAGCAAACAAAGACAATGCTTATGCAAATTTTTGAGGGCAAACAAGGTACATTATAGCAGATGTGCAAATGGCGAATTTAGTCATCAAAAAGGCTGGATTAAATTAACAGTTATAATGAATATATCAAATAATTTAAATTTATTGGGACACAATATTCAATAAGTAAACCTTGAAATAAATTGATCCAATCATATTATATGGTACAAAAGGCAAATATTGTGAAATAAGGCTGTTAAAACCTCGGTTACCATGGTAACGTGAAAATTGACGTACAAGTCGCCTTAATTTTGAAATGTTATTTGATCATGTTTTGTAAGAAAAATTTCCTAAATTTGTTGTCATGCACGTAGTTTGAATTATTTTGAAGATATTTGGGTCCTTCAACGCTCCTGAATCAGGTAAAAGCAAAATCGAAAGAATTCAGTCAATTAGTTTCTTATGAACTAAAGACATAACGGGCAATTTATTTTATTGCCTTTCTTTTTTCTGTTGCTAAGCTTAGCTTAATTTTTTTTCGTTTTTGATTAAGCTAACTGTCGCTCACCTGGTGACTTACATCATGGTCTTAAAATCGGTAATAACTACACGCACGGAAAAACAGTTCGATACTCTTGTAACCTTGGGTACACACTTGAAGGCGAGGCTGAACTGACTTGTGTAGATGGAAGATGGAACACTGCCACTCCCAAGTGTAAAGGTAAGCTTTCATTCTTGTTTTCCATTTCCAAAATAAAAACTTTCGTTGATTTTGCATTGGAAGTTAAGGTTATTTTATTTGCAACTTTTCAAATGACGTGGCAAATTTTAGTAATGGCTGCAAAATGAATTATATAGCCCACAACTTTGAACTGGTAAAAGAAGAATTAACTCGTGAGCGTCTACTCAAGTTGCAGGCTAAAGCTTTACTTGATACCCTGCAATCTTCATTTCCCGTATTGGTTTATTATACATAAACGACAAAGGCTAAAAAATTAACCACCCTGTAATTATTACGATAGCTGTTGAGTGTGGTAATCCTGGCAAACCAACTAACGGAAAGCAGATTGTCAGGAAGGGCTACGTCTATGGTGGATCAGCCAAGTTTTTTTGTGACAAGAATTACACTCTGGTGGGGACTAATGTTATATATTGTCAAGCTAATAGGAGTTGGAGTTCCTCTGTTCCACGCTGCGTAGGTACGTGCCATGTGTAAGACAAAATTAAAGACGTTTACCTTCATTAGTTTTTGCCTTAAAGTATAAATAGTAGTAAGATTAGATGGTCGTAGAAATGTAATTTATGAAAATTAGCAGTACAAAATTGTAGCTTTTTAGAAATACGTATTAATACTAGTTGTTCGAACAATTTAACTTAGTGTGCTAAATAATACTAAGAGAAACGCAAGTTAACGAAACCAATTAATTTACTATGAAATTTGGTCTTAAAGAACAAATCATTCGTTTACCCTTGTTTTTTCTGTTATTAAGATTTTTCTTTCTGTTCAAATTAAAGCTAACTGTCGATCCCCTGGTGATATAAATCACGGCCTTAAAATCGGTAATAACTACAAGCACGGAAAGACAGTTCGATACTCTTGTAACGCTGGGTTCACACTTGAAGGCGAGGCTGAAGTGACTTGTGAAGAGGGAACATGGAATACTGATACCCCCAAGTGCAAAGGTACATTTGTAAGCGTGAATGAATTGGTATTTAGAGATATATAGCTTGTAGCCTGGGACTAGGATCCGCATTGGGAAAAAAAAGGAAAAAAATGAGCTCGGGCGAAAAAAAAATTGGCGAGCGAGGCGATCCGTAAGGTAGTCTGGGGAGGGAAAAGGGTGGCAGGGCCTGGAGACATGCCTTTGATGCCTCCGATCCGCCATCCAGCAATTAACTTGTCATTGAAATGTCAACAATTCAGCACGTCAGCTTATTGTGTCGCTTTTGTAAAAAAAATATTTGAATTCGAGATGAAGCCGTAAGAGTGGAAGCAAAGAGATCTACTTAACTTCAATCGCCAACTCGATTACCACCAGCTCCGGCCAAGAGATATAAAGACGGTTCAGAGGAAAATGCACCACATTCGGCCGGTGAAGTACAGCCGAATAGATTCTCAAGGAGATCCCTCAGAGTTCGCATCATAATGCTCGTTTACTTAGCTTCTTATGATGTACCAAATGAAATATTGCTCTTAGTAGAGTTCTTTTTTTCCGCGGAGATAACATGTGTAAGTTTATCTCCTTACGCGACATGGACCTGAGTTTTTGGAAAGTCTTGGTAGTGGCCTATCCAGGAAATCTGAGGGTTTTGTTTAGGCATTTAACTTGAAGATCGAGGTTATAACAGTTTTAAAAGAGGTACAAAGGAAACCATCAGATAAAGGAACAAATAATAGAATGGATAGTTTGGAGACTCAGGTTTTAATTCAAGAAAATGGCTTTAGGCTGGAAAATTTGCAGGGACGTTTAAGAAACGTGCAACACATCCTATCATACATGCGGAAGGTACGTGAGACCACGCGATCTGTTCGCGGTCTTCTTGTTTTCAAAATT